GAACGTTATATAAATGTTGTAAATGGAGCTCGGAGACATGGCCTGGTTTGGGGGTCAGTGAGATCAATAATGGCTTAGAACCTTTCTCTGTGTGTAGCTCATTATGATATGGAATAAAGTACTAATATGAAAAATAAAAATACCCCTGAACTTTCATGTCTCTAAGCCATGAGATGGGAGAAAGTTTCTTAATGCACACCCTGCCTTCAGAGTGCTTTCTGTGATTATCTTTTTCCAGCAGGGTAGCGGCTGCTAACTCTAAAGTCTGACATGATACATTTGCCACTGAGTATAAAAGGGGAAAAGGGAAAAATCGCCAAGACGTGAAAAGCTGGATTCTGATCTCACATCCATTGGAATCAGTCAGGAGCACTCAACAGTCACACCCATGTAAAACTGGTGTGAGCAGATCAGAATCAGGACCAATGGCTACAACTCATCGTCAGACAGTCTTAATCATCGATTTTTAAGGCCAGAAGGGACCACCAGATCGTCTAGTCTGACCTCACTGGCCACCTACACCACCCAGCACCTGCACACTAAACCCAGCAACAGAAATGAGACCGAAGTACTATAGCCTACAGGAGACTGGACCGTTGTGTGCCATCGGCAGAGAATAGAAGGGACTGAGGTGCACCAGTTCCTGAGGCCCCTGTAATGGCACAGAAATGATTAAGTGAGATATACCCAGATAAATCTGGCAAGTGACCTGCACCCACAAATAGCAGAGGAAGGCAAAAAAAACCCAGAGGGTCACCACCTGATTTCCTTCCCGATCCCACATATAGCGATGATAGTTCTGTAAGTGGGTAACAGCTCACATCAAAAGCTCAGGAAGAAACCCATTATTTATTAGCACTATTTATTTGCTAACCTATTGATTTAAATGGGAGTTAAGTGTCTAAATACTTTTGAACATCTGGGCATGACAGTGCTTCTACCATGAGTTGTAGTCCTCTCAAAATCAACCAGACTGCTCATGGTAGTGTGCACGGTGACCAGGATTAAGTGTCTGAAGGATTGGGGCCTATATATAAATAAAGGCAGCAAGAAATAAATATGGAACGGCCTGGCATAGCAAGGGAGCGGGCAAAGGGACTACTAGAATACACAGATGATACGAATACATAGGCTAGACTCTCAACTGCTGTGAATAATTGGTGTACGGCCCTGGAAGGGCGGGGGGTGTGTGTGTCAATGGAACGCCACTGATTTACACGAGTTGAGGATTTGGACTCATGAAATCAGCAAATGCCTCCAGAGTGAGATTTGTGTATGTGTGCCTTTAAATATCAATAGAAGTAACATCATTGTTTTGTGTTGTGTTTTGTTTGATTTTTAGAGGCGGGAGGGGCTGATTCAGTAAAGCACTAAAGCACATGCCTAGATGTAAGCAGAGGTTGTCCCGTTGACGTCAGTAAGACTATTCATAGTCTTAAGGTTACACTTGCTAAATTGGAGCCTTAATTGGGGCAAGGGGAACAGCAGAAAGGGTATGAGTTAACAGGAGCCAAATAGTGAAGGAGACCTTTGTGGGATGCTCTAATAGAGTGGAAGAGGTGTCCAATGGTTAGGGGGCTAGCCTGAGGCTCAGGAGATTGGCATCAATTCCCTGCTCTGCCACTGTGTGACCTCAGGCAACTCGTTTTGCCTCTCTGCACTTCAGTTTCCCATCTGTAAATCATAGATAATAGCTCTGTTAACACTTACAGCAGTGTGTAGAGTACATAGAGTGCACCCCCACCCCCAGCTCGGGTATAAATCGCAATGTAGATGGTGAGGCACCGCTTAGGCGAGTAGGGTAAAAATATGCCAGAACCTCAGGGTATATACATAGCCTTCTAAAGCCCAAGCAGTGCCTTCCACCTCTACACTGCTACACGGAAAGTCTCTGATAGTGGGGAAAGTCTCTGGCAGTGGGGAACTGCCAGACCCTTTCTCCGCTGCCTCTCCTGTGCCAGAACCTTTCGCAGCCGCTTGTAGCTAGCCCTCCGCAAAATGAACATAGATTGCGTTTCACTGTGGCATGTAGCTACACGTGCCCTTCATGCCACTATCAATATAGACAAGGCCTCACAAGGGTGCTGTGAGGAGAAATACATTAAAGTTATGGGTCTCTCATACACGATGGTAATTGGGGCCATATGTGTACCTAAGGGAGATAGAATAGAACCTAATGGAGAATGTGTACTTTTTCATGGGTTTTATGAACCATCCTTTAGCATTAGAAGATTACAGTCCTGCTATAGAATTCTATGGGAGAGTTTAAAAAACCCAGTAGAAAAGATCCCATTGTTTGAATGTCTAGAATAATTCCTACATTTCTATTTCTATTTCTGTGACATTTCTATAGCATACCACTGGTTCATCCCCATTCAATTGGATAGGATTTCTCCTTAAGGACATGCTAGGCTGGAAAGAGAAGAGAGAGGGGAATGAAAGGGAGGTGATGGATTGAAAAAGAAGGGGCCGAGGAGGGAGGGAAAGCTGAAAGGGGCATAAAGGTCAAGGAGAGTAAGGCACAGGCCAGACAGCAATTGGCAGTTGGAGAGGGGTGAAGGAGATCAGACAAACGGCCAATAGCACAAGCATCCATCTTGCTTCATTTCCAAGAAGTGTGTTATATAAATGCTGCTGAAGCTCCAGTTAGTGAAATGGGGCCATTCGTCTGCAGGAGAACGGGATTCTGTTTTCCCTACTTCAAGATGATTTTGTTTTCCTTTTTATCTTGCATGTGTTGTCAGCCCAAGCTTTGTAGTGGTGCAAACTCATCTTTCCTACAGGCATGATGTTGCCAGTGAGAAGCACCCGGCAATACGCAGTAATTAATGCTTTTGTAGGCCATGCATATTTTAATTATTACTTGTTTTAACGTCAAAAGCCTGCCCACATGAGACAGAGTCTTACATTCCATGAGGGCCTGAAATAAGGGCCAACGCATTCCTTTAGAGCCCCAAATATTAAACAGACATTAATTTGTTTTGAGCCTAGTATGTTTTAGATGCATATAAATCAAATTGTATAATGGAAAAAAAATCTCCTCCATATGTTGGAAAGCTGAAACAAGGCACTAACGCTAAGTGATAAAAAGTGGCAGCGGCAATAAAAGTTGATTAAAGTATTAGTTTAGCATTATGCAGAATACAACTGGATCTCATCTTTGTTAAAGCAAAGCAAGGACTGGTTTTCCACTGGAGAGGCCCCTGTGTTTCAGCTGTATTCCCTGTAGGACTCCTAAAGTTCTCAGGTTCCACCTTACACAATGGCAAAGTCTAAGCGTAGTCAAGTTTTTCATCAGTGAGAAGGAAGTTAAATAACACTTGACTACAGTAGACAAAACAAGACTATGCATAGACTAACTGGAAACATCTAGAGTTTAAAATTACCTGATAGAGAAGAAGAAAAAAAATCAAAGTCGTCCCAGGAATGAAATATTCCTTCCCTGTCCTTCCTGTTCTCTTTGTTATGCTAACCAAGGTAGGATTAGATTTCCACTGGCAAAAGAAATAATATTTGTAGATTGTGTGTGTGTGTGTGTGTGTGTGTGTGTGTGTGTGTGTGGTGGGAGGGGGAGGGA